AAAAAGTTTTTTTTATCCCGCGTGGACGAAGACGCGATCAAAAGCTTTATAATTATAACATTAATTTATATCGTGCACACGTAATATGTTTAAATTATTTATTACGACAGACAGTAAAGGCATCTATTGCATATGTAATTCGGCATACAGACATACAAACATAGAGCTGTGTAGAGCAGCTGCATTGCTCACATAATGCCCGCTTTCTAAAACACAGTTCCCTGAATCTGTCAACGTAATACTTTATCTTATTATTTAAATATTTAAAATACCTAACAGTTATTTAAATATTTAGTATTCATTATACAACTAAAAGCAATATATTAAGTTCTACACATCGCTACTATCAGCATCTGTCGTCTCGATAGAAAGCCTAAAGTAACAGAGTCAAATTTTGAAATTTGGTACATGGCGGCCATGTTGTCTGTATGACATATGACTGTTTTAGGTTATTTTGTAAAAATTTTAAGATAAAGGAAAGTGATATTGTAAAATAAAGGTATAATAGCTTATGTATTTATTTATGTAAAAAAATGTGTTATACGATAAATGTTTTGGTATTTTCAAATTTTAGCGTAAATTGTTGTTTGTCTATGGTTTATGGTTAGTATTGGAATCCAGTATACACTACATTTAAAGCTGGTATTCTATCTATCGAATATTACTGTCTGTCTGTCGGTTACTGAGCGTAATAACTTGTATGGCATTGTTAAGCAATTAAAATAGAAAAATATATATTCGTTACATGTAACACTTTAGTGCTTAAAGTATTTGAAACATTAAAAAGGAATAAATAAAGTTTATATTTGTATGGCGACTAATAATATAAGGGTCTATTGTCACGTCATAACGATTTTGCTCGATAACATCGCATGTTTTCATCGTTTAACTTGTGTGCTCTAAATTGATCCTCATATTACGAACCGTCCGGGAGTAACGTCTAATCAAAATATCTTTAAGAGATATATTTTTTTTCGATAATACATATAATTGAACATTCACAGGCTTATAAGGCAGGCAACCAATGGTAACGATTGAAAACGAATCTAATTTTTCTTGTCTTCATTATATTCTTGAATCTCTGGCATTCAGGTTACCTGCTTTACAGCATTGTTTGGTCTCTAGGCCACTATGCGTACAGCGTTGTTGTATTTTACAATTCTTAAAAAAATAAGAAGACAGACTACATAGTAGTTACATAGTTCTAAACAATCAAAGGTCTGAAATTAAAACCGCGGATCTATGGTTCGTTGCTTTTAGCTTTCTAGTACAGTGGGAATAAGCAAAACTAGTCCTAATTTCAAGGAACTTTTTTTAATACTGTTTAAGCCGATCTTGTTACGGAAGTTAATGATACCTTAATGTGAAGTTAATGATCATTTTAATGATAACCGGTTAGGTAAACAAAGCGGACATGAATGGTTCAAATTGCACAATCTCATATAACGTTATGATAAAATTAATACGCGAGCAAATCACCTCCGGTTAAGTTAATCATTCAATGCATAAAATAGGGTTGCCACTGTCACAATATTTTATGATAATCGCAACAATTAATCGCTTCTTTGGACTTTGGACTCTAATAAATTATTTTTTGTAACAATTATGTTTCCACTGCCAAAGACATTGTACTGTCCGCTTAATCCACAGACAAATTACATTCTCGAAGCAGTTTAAGGTAATTTTAGTACCATGGTAATATTGTGGGATAAATTTAGAAGTATCACAAATCTAAAGGGCCACCCTTAGTGACCAGTTAAAGTCTGAATGCGTTAGTTAGCACAGCCCTAAGCAAGATGCGGTAACTAGTAAGAGACGAACAAGAAATTGGTAATACAAAACTGAGTGTTACGTAAGAGTTGCATGTTGCATTGTTTCACATTCGCTTATGTTGGTATACTGAAGAAATCTACAGCAATGGCAACTGTGATAATATATAACGTGTAATCACTTGGATGCTTTAACTCTGAACTTGGAACAAGGAAGTCTTTTAAGTATTAATACCAGTTTGTCCGTTATAAAGTAAAGTAATACTTAAACGATTATTGTTTCAAGTTTTAAAAAATAAAAACTATTTTTTTACGTTATGTTTATTATATTAAAATTGTGCTTTAAGAATAACATTGAACAACAATTTATAAAAATATATTCGTAAGAAAAAAGAAATTGAGTCAACATTTTTACGAAGAAAACCTTCTTTACGTCAATAGAAGCCGAGCAAAACTAAAAAGCGCTTTGAAACAAAAGTATCTCAAAGGGACTTGCAACATTTTTCCATCCACGCAACTTCGACTAATTAAAACTCCACAGGATACATTGCTGGTTTTGCTTACGCTAGTTACGTTGTATAATTAACAAAGCACGCATTGTAGTGCAACGCAAATCGTAAGCCTAAATGTACGTAAATATAATGCGATGTGAACGAACTGTAATTCCATCAAGTGCTATGACCTAAGCGTAATTAAATCTTTATATTCACAACGTGTTACACTGCAGGGGGCTGCTACTAAAAATATTGCTATTACCCTATGCATAAACTTATCTTATCATCACATTTCTATTCTCTAGCGGATAATTATCGTATTCATTATTTTAAGATATGACAATTTCGGTTTTCTAGATAGCTTTTTATTTAGAGTCTTGCTATCGATCAGTCTTTATTAAATTTAGGTAATAAAACACTATATACATCTGGCACTGAGTATATCTGAACTTGAAGTGTCAAGTACCGGTGTACTCAGTAAACTCGTGACTTGGTTACAAAAGCCATAATACAAACAAATAGCAAACAATCACGAAACGCTTTCTTCATTCTAACAAATGTTCACGCTGCTCGTTGTGGAGTAAGCAGCTTTGTTCTTTGTAAAGAGAAACTGTCACTTGCTCAGTTGCCCACTTGCCTGGTCAGTTGCCCAGTTGTCAGCCATTCAGAATTTCTATTAGCAAATATACAACCGGATATAATAAATTGATGCTTGCACGAACCAAGAATCATCTTACTGTGTTACTACTTCTCTTATTTCTTACGTGTCTATTTTACTAATATTATAAATGCGAATATTTGTATGGATGGATGTTTGTTTGTTTGAAGGTATCTGAAGAACGGTTATGTGGACCTCGCTGAAATTTGGCATAGATGTAGAACATAGTCTGGAAGAATACATAGGTTACAATTTAAGTTTTTTTAAATTCCGCGCGGCCGGAGTCGCGGGCTACAGGTAGTACATGTTTATTAAGCCAACATTAATGGAATTTTCGGTTGCTATTGTGATCTTTAGATCTGATGAAGTATTTATAATATAAATTGTTATGGATTGGCAACAATGGTTTATGATACCTGCCAGGGTTCAGCCGTTAGTCAAAAGCTTCATCACCGTTATTTAAATTATCATCCTAAATCCCACGCTATCATAATTAATATGAGGGTCAACTACCGCGTGTGATATACAAGTGCAAATTACCACGGACACAGAATTTGGCACAGTTTGCACTGTTATGATATGTTCACACACACACACAATCAATTCTCACCATTAAAGTGATGACAACAACGACCTATCCTTCATTATCACCATTGAATTCATGGCTTAGAGATAAGAGTATTTAGTTCTTTTGTTTCGAGTTCTAGATGTGACCGGTTTCAGGTATTTTGGTCTGTTCTCAGGTTTACGGCCTACCCCGTTAAGCTTTAAATTTAATAGGCTTTAAGGTTTTTTGTTAACTAATGACAAGTGGTTGATCTTTTCTATTCTATGAGCTGTTCGTAGTCCAAAATAATTTGTCATAACAAAGTGGATATTTTGTATCAAAAAGAGGAAGTCATACATTTTCTCCAAGATTTAACATTTCCGATTCTAATAACGTTATTTTAGATTTTAGAAACGTTTCGTGAATACTCGTGCAAAAATAATTTATCATCGTTCGTAATTCTCTTTGCAAGAAGTCATGTCTCAAGATGTTCCTGTAAGTGTCTTTTGACGGTGGAATCTTACGGTAAAGTTAATTACTACAAACACTTTACTAATATTACACATGCGGACGTTTCGATGTATGGATTCGTGTTTGTTAGAAGGTATCTCCAGAACGGCTCAACAGATCTCGATTAAATTTAGCATGGATATTATAACATAGTCTGGAAAAACACATAAGTTACTAATAAAGTTTTTTTTGATACCGCGCGGACGGAGTCGCGGGCGACAGCTCATAGGCCTTTAATATTAAAAGATTGAGAGAACCATAGCCATTATATGGTAGGTTATTGAATCAAGGGATATAAATGGTGACAAGACTATACATCACGCGGTTGTAAACTCCGTGACATCCAGTGACAACTAATATGCAGTTACCCGTATCGTAACGTGGGATGTAGGTATATTATCCCGCTCATTTTAACTTAACTCTATGCCAACAACACGTGTTTCTACAAAGCTTAATTCTGAATGCTGGACCTAAATCTACTTTTAATAAAATAACTAACTAGCAATAACTGACCTTACTAGGATCAAATATTATAGGAAATAACGGTGGGCATTTTTTTAGTCTGCCAGGTAAAAAGAAAGAAATCTGTTTCCCGGAACCATCTTTAAAACATACATATATTTAATTTGATACGTATTTGAAAGTAATTGTGAATCATTCGCAAACCCTCTGACTCTGATAGAATGACAACCGGAGAACGGACAACGAGCTATGCAACAAGCCAACAAGGTCGTTTGTTCACTCTCTATCACATAAATGCCTTAAGAATACTGATTCACACATTTATATACCAAATAAAAGGTCAAAATAAAGTTTTGTGTCAAAAAACTAGTTTGATTGAGTCTCTTTAAATAATAATTCGATTTTATTTATAATAATTAATAAGTATTCCATAATTACCTAATACAATAAAAACATTGTTATATTTCTGTTACTTAATTTCACAAGTAATGTTTTACTGTATTTGAAGTATTATTCATTTAGAATAAATTAGAATAATTAAATCTATTGCAATCACTCACCGTGTATGCGACTACTTAAAAATCACACATGACTCGGCGGCATCCGGATTCTGTGCCACAAAAACAGGCTTCTTGCATCTGTAGGTGTGTCTCAAAATTCTGACACCACTAAAGTTCACAAAGCAATACCGTTAACTTGGTAATTTCTATACATCACTACGCGGCACTTATACCACTGAATACGGAACAACGCACTTCATTCACAAATTATAATTATAAAGAACAAAGACGTTAAGTTAAAATTGGCACAAACTCTTGTTGACCGCGTAAAACTTACTTGGTTTTAACTTCACATAACCCGCCACCGTGGAATTGCAATCGCAACTGACATGTTTACGTTTTGTTATATCCAATTGATAGCTGTTTATTCTTGTCATTCTTACAGTTATAAACATATGAGAGAAAGGGACAAAAAATCCAAGCCAACTCAAGTTTACAAGTATTTTTCAAATACTAGTAATGCACTCTAGTGATTAATATAAAAGCTACTTCAAGCCCTCGAAGTTATTTTGTTCCAATTAAATAAACTACTTGACAGAAGATGGCGCACTTGGCAAAATTTACTTCAAAGTCCAAAGTTGGAGATTATCAAAAATAGTTTTAGTAATGTCTCTTTATCTGTTTATATATGCTTCCATGCAATAAATGCAACACTTATAATGCAGGTGTCAGATGCAAGATGTTCGCAGAGATTAAGGTTATATGGTCATTCCTTTTTTAAAAATTAAGTCTTAATTGAATTCTATGTTAATCTGTTTTCTTATAGTAATATTTGAATAACGTTTTGGGAATAGCTTTAATAAAACTTTTACCTTCATCGAATAATAAAAAATTTCAAACTTTTATATTATTTTAATGAGCCTAATATTTCAAAACATTTTTGGCATCGCAACGATTACGCTAAAATACAAAAATTTCATAGCCTTAGCAATTCCTTTAAATATTAAAACATGTACTTATTTACTATATATACTTTATAACATTAAAATGAAAGTCTTCAAACTTTGATCATAATTTCTTCTAGAGGTTTTCTGGCTATATCAGGAACCGTAGCTTCTGAATGTGGCCTTCCCACCGGTAGGAGGAGCTCCAATCGCTCGTTAACTGGTCTGGAGAGAAGATCCCGAAGGCGGGAGTTGCAGTTCAAAGGTGTGGATGTAAGAGCCACTAGACCGCAGTACTGAAAACAAGCAATAATCAAAAATTCGCTTATTTGCAAAAAGTTAAAATACGAATTTCTAGTTTATGTCATTATTTTTATGCAAGTTGCGCCATCTTAATGAATCTACGAATGAATAGCTTTCACGGTGTGTAAATAGCGCCATCTATATCCAAGTAGCGTAATCTAACTGCGAGTGACGTTTTCGGAAAGAATGTAGCGCTTTCTATGTGCAAGTAGTATCATCGGAAAGCAAGTGACGCCATCTATGTGCGAGTGGCGTCATCGAATAGACTGTAGCGCCATCTATTTGCGAGTAGTAGATCTATACGCGATTAGCGCCATCTATGTGCGAGTAGTGTCATCGAATAGACTGTAGCGCCATCTAGTTGCGAGTAGCAGATCTATACGCGATTAGCGACATCTATGTGCAAGTAGCGTCATCGGAAAGCAAGTAACGCCATCTATGTGCGAGTAGCGTCATCAGAACGCAAGTAGCGCCATCTATTAGCTAGTAGCGGATCTACACGCGAGTTGCGCCATTTATATACGAGTAGCGTCATCTAATGCGCACCCGAATAACTTTTTTATTAAGAACTTTTTACTACATTTCACCTCACTGTGCCATACCTGAATAGCAGCCAGTAATATGCCCGCAGCTATTGCCACACTAATTTCACTGTAATAATGCATCCTCTTTCTCCCGTCTTCTCTCCAGGAGTGTGTCTGCCTGAAAACCAAGATCAGAGCCGGTGCATCACTCAGGTATGGCTTCGTGGCAGTAGTTGCGAATGGTTTGAGGTCTGTCACCCATTGCCTGGACATCCTCTTGGAGTAGTTTAAGTCTTCCTCTTCTTCTACTATACTTCTTATTGCAGCTTTTGTTTCCTGGTCTTGGACCACTATGAAGGTCCACGGTTCGGTGTGAGCTCCGGATGGTGATGTGCCTAGAAAACAGATGTAACTGTATATTTTTCTTTGTACCTATTTTCTTTTTTTTTTTGGAGGTTTATTTAATTTTTTTTTGATAATCATAAAATAAGAATTATAAAAATTATATTTTATATTAATTTTTGTATGTTATTTAATGTATACAAGGGTTACTTTAGTTCTGCATTCTGGTTTTGTTAATGGTGTACTAAGCATAATGATAATATTAATTAATGTTTTCTAAATTATTATTTTATGTAATAATAAATAGTAATAAAATAAAAAGAAAAAAAAATTAAAAAAGACATCAGGGGACACCCGGGTTTGAACCGGGGACCTCTCGATCTGCAGTCGAATGCTCTACCACTGAGCTATATCCCCTTGTGTTGCATTACGAAATTTAAGATTTTATTATTCGCCACGACACATTGATAAATTAAATGTAGGCTATTGACCTATATATAATTTTATCAATAGTTAAGATAAGAGATGTAAATAAACTTTTTAGTGTTTGAACATTTAAAACAAAATCACTGTAATAAATCTTCATCATCGTAAATAATCTATTTTATGCATTGTCAAGTTTTTTTTTAGTTAAAATTGTTTATTTTAAGAATTCACCTGCAGTTCTAACGATATTATCCAAGACCTCTTGAGGTATTGGTTCTGTACTGAAGCTTCTAACAGTCCTTCTCTTCGCCATCAGTTCGTAGTACTCACGAGACCTCTGAAGGATCTCTTCATCGGACCTCCGTAGTGGTATGTACGGGATATGGGGCGTGTCCTCCGGGATAGCGGGCACTAAGAAGTCGGGATCATCTTCGTCGTTAGGATAGTCTCGCTCTGAAACGATAATTGAATAACAATAATTTGAATGATTTTGTAAATTTATTACTTCCCATATCTTAGCAGTTCCTTGATTTTAATGTTTACCACAAATTACTACATTATGTTTTATTCTTTTATTAGAAGACAGTTAGTGACGTCATTTTGTTAGTTTTTAACCGATGTACATTGTACTATGTACACTCTTTCTGAACAGTAATTTGTACATTTCACAGATACACGTAGTTTACTTTCGTTGTTATCTTATTTGTCCAATCCCCAACGAAATATACTGACATTAGACAAGTTACAAATGAGGGCAACTAATAGATAACATTATCTTTAATGTACAAAACAGTTGAAATTATTTTAAAAGAATAAATATATTTTATAGCAAAAGATGGTACAAGAGGAAGCGGCCACTTAATTCGCCAATATAGGAGGGAACTCGCAGAAAGAGGATTTACCTTTCTTATGTGAAATCTAACTTATAAGAAACCGCATCCCTACCTCTTTTAAAAAAATGGTGGTAAAGCGAAGAGGACTAAAAGTAGACCTTGGGCACGCACACACATCAGAACGCGGAATTGCTTTCACTAGACGCCTGTCTTCTGTGTGGTCGTCATATTTCACCGGTATTCGTCAGCTTGTTCCGACATTTCCGTATAAAAGCTTGTCTACTTTATACGACATTTTTAATAATATTTATAGAATATTTATAAGTAATTTTTGTAATATAGCATCTACTAATTTGAGAATCCTAAAGTTAAGACTGAAATCATTTTCTCGGAAGAAGCATATTTACGAAGAATTAATAACGTACCATTTGTTGTTTTTTATAGAAGATTCTTTGCATAAAATGAGCGTGTACATAATTTCAAACAAATTAGTTAAAGTTAGTTTTTGTGAGCACCTCTCACGCACGGTGACTTGCTATGAATCTATACAAAAACAGATAATGATTACTCGTTTGGTAATGTTTTTATAACTTAGAAAAACAATTACGAAATATTACTGACTTTTAATTATTATTTATGCTTAAAGTCTAATTCTTCACTATGCATTATTTTAATATTGTCTATGCCAGATTCACGTTAAAATGCGATTGTATTGAAACTAGCTGTCGCCTGCAACTCCGTCGGAGCGGAATTCAAAAATAAACTTTAGTAGCCTATGTGATACGTTCAGGCTATGTTCTATATATATGTCAAATTTCAGAGAGATGCATGCTGTCGTCCTTCTAATAAACATCCGTCCATACATACATCCAAATATTCGCATTTATAATATTAGTAAGATACACCATCTGGGGTTTACGGATTAGAGAATTGGAAAAATACGTAAACAAATACTATCAGAGATTAGATTGTGTCCAATCTTAAATACGTACGTCTCGGCTAAATTTCTATTTACTTCGGATATTATTAATAATAAATTAATAAATAAGTTCTAAAACAAAAATAATTATAACCATCATCTATAAAATACTTTGTTCCATAGAAGGGAGTGGAAAGAAATGTACATATATTGTGAGTTCTTTTCAGCTTCTTGACCTATTTTGAGAGAGACATTATATTCGTTACATATTCATTACCAAGCCTTACAGGGGGTATTTTTTTAAATTTAAAACAAAGAGTAATCTACATAATTAATTAAAATACTCGTATAATAATTATTCGCTCCTCGCTCTAATTAAATATTTTTGATAACCTCTGCAACGATTCATTACAACGCAGCGTGTTCAACACGAAAGTAGTGTGTGGCTTTTAACTTCGCTAATTTACTTAGGGAAAATTGTTACTGATATGTTTGTGCGTCTCACACTAAATAAGGAAACGAGTATTTAATTTTATGGGGAAGTGGAATACAGTCTCTTCATCTTCTCTGGTTGCAGCAACATACCTGCAACCTTTATATGCTCGTGTCTGTAGGCAACCTTTTCTTTGTTATTTAAGCAATATAAGTTAGCCTTTTGTTCATTTTCCACCTATAGAATTTTTTTTTAAATTTGTCATTCAACTTCCTAAAACAAGCTAAACATAGGTAGAGTGGTAATATAATACGATTTGATTATGACTATTATTGTATAAGTGTGGACGTTACTGTGAATTTACCCTGAGACACTTATAACAATTGTCCCTTTTTTCTTAAAGCGAATGAAAGAGATGATGATACTTTATACAAGTGTTTCGATAGTGCAAAACCCATAGTTTTATGTTATGTTGTAATAACAGTAGGTCAGCTTTCCAGTAATTGTATATCCGCGACATCATTGCACGAATGCACGATAACATTGCTATTTATAAAATAGCTAACGTATAGTTCTTCCTGATTATTTTTTTTACATGAAAGCGATAACCCATACTCACATAAAATGTATATAATTTTTACGCGCATAGTATTCTAGATTACACTATTTAG